TTCATCAGGGATATTGGCCTGTAATTCTCTTTCTTTGTGGTGTATTTATCTGGTTTTGGAATTAGGGTAATTCTGACTTCATATAAAGAGCTTGGAAGTGTGTCTTCCTCTTGAATTTTTTGGAATAGTCTGAGGAGGATAGGTTTTACTAGTCCTTCTTTGAATTTTTGGTAGAACTCCCTAGTAAAGCCATCTGGACCAGGGCTTTTGTTTGCTGGAAGATTTTTGATTACTGCTTCAATTTCCTTGGTAGTTATTGGCCTATTCAAGTTATTTATTCTTCCTGATTGAGTTTTGGAAGCTTGTATTTTTCTAAGAATATGTCCATTTCCTCTAGGTTGTCCAATTTTTTTAGAGTAGGTTGTTTATAGTATTTTTTTTGTAATACTTTGTATTTCTGTTGTTATTTCACCTCTTTCATTTATGATTTTGTTTATTTCGGTCTTCGCTCTTTGTTTCTTGGTGAGCCTGGCTAGAATTTCATCAATCTTGTTTATCCTTTCAAAGAACCAGCTCTTGGTTTCATTGATCTTTTGTATTGTTTTCTTGGACTCTATGAAGTTATCTGCTCTGATTTTTATTATTTCCTTCCTTCTGCTTACTCTGGGCTATTCTTATTGCTCTCTTTTCAATTCTTTAAGTTGCAAAATAAGACAACTTATTACCAGTTTTTCTTGATTTTTGAGGTAGGCCTGTAGAGCTATGAACTTCCTTCTCAGGACTGCTTTCACTGTGTCCCATAGACTTTGGATTGTTGTCCTGTAGACAGCAGGTATATGGGTCATGTTTTCTTATCCACTCAGCTGCCCTATGTCTTTTTATTGGAGCATTTAATCCATTATCATTTAAGGTTATTTTTGATAGGTACTTGTTTGTCCCCATTTTTATTCTTTCTGCTTGTGTTCCTTCTTCCCTACCTATTTCTTCATTTTAGAGCAGTCCCTTTAGCATTTCTTGTGTTGCTGGATTGGTGGTAATAAACTCCCTTAGCCCTTTTTTGTCTATGAAGCTCCTTATTTCACCTTCATTTTTGAATGATGGCCTTGCTGGGTATAGTATTCTTGGATTCAGTCTCTTGTTTTGCATCACTTTGTATATTTCATTCCATTCCCTTCTGGCCTGATGTGTTTCTGTTGATAAATCAGTTGATAGTCTAATGGGAGATCCCTTATAGGTAACTTTCTGTCTCTCACTGGCAGCCTTTAAGATTCTTTGTTGTTGGTGTTTCCCAATCTAATTATGATGTTTCTTGGCATAGGTCTTTTTGGGTTCATCTTTTTTGGGACTCTGTTTACTTCTTGGACTTGTGTGAGTTTTTTTCCCCCCCAATATCAGGGAAGTTTTCTGTCACTATTTCTTCAAACAGGTTTTATATTCCTTTCTCAGTTTCCTCTCCTTCTGGCACCCCTATTATGCAGATGTTGTTTCATTTCATGTTTTCCCAAAGCTCCTTTAGGCTCTCCTCCTGTTTTTTAAGTTTTTTTCCACTTGTTGCTCTGCTTGGGTGTTTTATCCTAACTTGTCTTCTGGCTCATTAATATGGTCCTCAGCTTCTTCTAGTCTACTGTTGAGGCTTTCTATTGTGTTCTTTATTGCAGCTATGTCATTCTTTATTTCTTCTTGGTTCTTCATCATTTCCTCTCGATTCTTACACATGTTGTTGAATTTGCTTTCCATCCTTTACAGCGTCCTTATGACCATTGCTCTGAATTCTTTTTCTAAAAAATTGCTTGCTCCATTTCGTTTACTTCCTTTTCTGGTAATTCCTCCTTCTCTTTCATATGGGAGCTGTTTCTTTGTCTCCCCATTGTTGCTCTTCTCAGGGTGTCTGGTTATGTGGCTCACTCTCTACCATGTTGACCGAAAGGCATAAGATACAACTCAACAAGACACGACATGGAGGGAACAAAACACAAATGTATTCACAAAACGAATAACCCAAATAAAGGTGACCACCAGAGAAAAGAGAATTAGGGGAGAGGAAAGCGCACATAAATGATATTGAGAAAGGAAAAAAAGGTAAGAGATAAAAGGAAATGAAGAAAAAAGAAGGGGAAAAATATATGTATATGGGGAGAAAACTCCACAAAACAAAAAAATAAACCAAAAAATGCAAACAACAAACACCCAGAAAAAAAGTGGGGGAACTAAATCTGAAGAGGCAGAGCTTATTTCCAGAAGGTCAGGTAAAGGAATTTAATGAATGGGGAATGGCCCCAGTTCAGCCTAAAGGAGGTAGAAAGAGAATGAGAGAATGAGTGGATAAGAAGAAAAGTAAAAAACAAAATAATCAATATAAATAAATAAATAAATGATTTAAAAATAAAATAAAAATGTCCCCTTTCTTTAATCTATATATCTATATATTCATCTATTTTTGGTAAAGGAACATATAGTAGAGAGCAATTAGTAGAGAGCAATTAGGCTTGAGTTTGGTGAGTGAAACTAATTAAGCAATTAGGAGAAGAAGAGAGCAAGTGAAGAGAAAAATTGGCTAACAAAGAAAAAGAGAAGGGTGCATGAACTTGGATCAGGAGAGAGGAAGTTAGATATATGAGTTAGCCAAGAGAGAGTGCTATAATAGTAATGTGTCAATAAAGCAGATAAAGAAGATCAATTTTTAACAAGGAGTAACAATAAAGGAGGGAGAAAATGTAAAGCAGGAACAGGAGAAGAGAAACAGGATGAAAAAGGGAGAAGTGTGAAATAAAAGGTTGGCAAAAAGGAATAACATGAGATAACGTAAAATAATGATAAAAATATAAAAATAAAAATAGAATGTAGAACACTAGTCCAGAAAAAAATCAAAGGTTAAAAAAAGATAATAATAAATAAAAATAAAATAAAGAAAAAAGATTTTTTTCCCTTTTCTTTCTTAAATTAAGTAAAAGATAAAAAATAAAAAAGTGAAGTAGTGAAGTTCATTAGCTTCAGCTGAGTTTTAATGTCCCATGGGGGCTGGTTTAAGACCCCTCTCTACTGCTCTGTCTGCTACCTCTCAGCTTCCTGTTAGGTATTCAGCACCCTGTTGAATTTCCCAGTGATCCACCACTCTTCTGTGACTATGTCCATAGCCTTGGTTGCAAGCAGGCGGGATCAATCTGCCTGCTCTGTTTTTTCTGCCTGGTTTTGGTTGTAAAGGGGTGTCCCAAAATTCACGCAAGAAGTAATTTTGATAGAAAACACAGGTTTATAATTAAAAGTTGTAAATTTTTTATTGATTCATAAAGTATACAGTATAAGGTTATGTATGGAATAGCATATCAGGTAAATTGCCTCCACGGCTTTGCTGGCACATATGCACTCTTTTGTTGTAATTTTCCATGACCGTTTTTGCATAAATGTGGCTGAATTTCGTTGATACAGCGCTCAATTTCCTCCTTCAAGGCATGGGTGGTCATGGGCTTGTTGGCATAAACCTTAGACTTCAAAACACCCCAAAGAAAAAAGTCCAACGGCGTTAAATCGCATGATTTGGGCGGCCAATTCTGATCACCAAAACGAGAAATTACACGACCAGGAAATGACTCATGCAGTAATTGAATTGTTTCTCAGGCTGTATGGCATGTGGCACCGTCTTGTTGAAACCACATGTTGTCCACATCCATATCTTGCAATTTAGGCACAAAAAACTGGATTATCATGTCGCGATGGCGAGCACCATTAACTGTTATTGCCTGAGCAGCCGCATTTCGGTCATGGAAAATTTCAACAAAAGAGTGTGTATGTGCCAGCAAAGCCGTGGAGGCCATTTACCAGATATGCTATTCCGTACATAACCCTATACTGTATACTGTATGAATAAATAAAAAATTTACAATTTTTAATTATAAACCTGTGTCTACTATCAAAATTACTTCTTGCGTGAATTTTGGGACACCCTTTATTAACACAAGCACCTATTTCTGACACAGCCTCTAGGTGGCGGTGTTGCTGTATTCGTTTCCTGGACTAAATGGCCCCTCAACCCAGTCCCCAAGGGTTCCCTGGGGGTATTCAGAATCTTTGTTTCCCTGCTCAGCTCAAGGCTGGGTGCAGCTGCACTGCTAGGAAGAGCTGGTTGTGACTAGACTGTCTCAGAGCTAGATTCCTAGTCGCCTCTCCCTGCTTTGCTCCCCAGCCTCCACAAAATCACCTCAACCTGCACTGCAGCCTCAGTGAGTGTTTGTAATTGAAAGATCCTATGTACAGGGTTTAGCAAGTAAAAGCAAGGAAAATTTAAAGACACAGCAAATTGTGCTGCTACGTGTCTGTACCCTGGACATCCTCATGTAGAGCTTTGACAGTATCCGTGATAAGTGTGATGATTAGAGACAGGAAGCCTCATTGATATGTGGTAGCCTCCAAGGGCCATCCTGTCATCCCATATACTGTCTAATCTCCTGAGTAGTAACTTGATGCACAAGAATACCTCTCAGTATAACAAAAAGACAGAATGTCTTAAATGCTACTGGGACTTTTGGACTAATTGAAATGGCTGTTCATAGACAACTACAGAAAAGGAATAAATAACTGTATTATTTCTCACATTATTCCAAGTAATGTGAGAAACAATCATTCTTATCTCCCCCATCACACCTGGGTTCAATATCTAAAGTTCAGCCTTTTCTCTGTAACTTCTTCTTGCCGAAGCTTCTACCTCATTCCATCCTAAGCCTTGACTTTATGTGAGAGGTTTACATTATCCCTTTCCTTGTAAATAAACAAAACACTATGTTATTACCAATTGATGTGCAACACTACACCTACTCTTTAGTTCTCAAGCCATACATGAGCCTTCCCAATTCCTAACCCTCTCTTTGCCAAATATCTGCCCCTCACTTTCTCTCTGAAACACACCCTATTCCTCATCTTATAGAAAATCACTTTTTCAAGACATATTACCAAATAAGTTATAAATCAGATATCCCTAAACCTGACATTCAAGCTGCCTATAATCTTCAACTTATCTCTCATCTTCTACCCACTGAATCCCTCAGCTTTTTTTTTTTTTTTTCAAAAAATGTTACAGGTCTCATTGTCACCACTGTAATAAGATTACTGTGATGGAAGCATAACCTGTGTCTCAATGTAGCCACATTAACAAATTTCTGGACACCGTACACAAAAACAGTACCCATTTTCACATAGAATGAGGCTGAATCCCTCAGCTTTTATTGCCATTTATTTTTTAAATAAATTTTTTAAATTTTTAGAATAGATTTATATTTACAACATGTTGCAAAAATAGTACAGCGACTTCCCATATCTCCTTATCCATTTTCCCCTATTGTTAATATCTTACATTACTATGGTTCATTTGCCATAATTAAGGAACCAATACTGATACATCATTATTCATTAAAGTCCACACTTTATTCAAATCTCCTTAGTTTTGACCTAATGTCCTTTTTGTTCCAGGTTCCCATTCAGGATATCATATTACACTTAGTCATCATGTCTTTTTGGTTTCTCTTGTCTGTGACAGTTTCTCAGACTTTCCTTGCTTATGATTAACTTGATCATTTTGCAAAATATTGGTCAGGTAATTTGTATAATGCTCATATGTTGGGATTTGTCTGTTGTTTATTTTCATGATTAAATGGGAATTAGTGATTTTGAGGAGGAACATCACAGAGGTAAAGTGCCATTTTTCATTACATCATATCAAGGGTACATACTGTTGTCAACATAAGAAGCATCCAAACCTGTAAAAAATTTTTATGAGTCAAACTAATGACAATTGCCGGAAAGCAAAATGTCAACAGATTGAGAAAATGATCCAGAGAATGGTAGTTTTGCACCTTACTTTATACATCAGAATCAAAGGGCATGACATAAGGGGGTTACATGAAATTTATTGGTGATAGATTAGGGAGACAGGAGAAAGCAAAAGGGGGAGGAGAATCTCTGATCTATATTATAAAAGGCCAGTGGCCGGAACGCCAGAACGCTGGAACGACCAAATGACCGGTCACCAGGAGGTGCATGAAGCACCACTTGGTCCCTCCCCTGTGGCCTGTTTGGCACTTGAGCAGCGGGGTGGGGCTCACGGCTCACGCGGTGCAGTGGCTCTCTCATGCAGTGCGGAGGGGCTCACACCAGGCTCTCAGCTCGCAGGGCAGGGTGGCTCGAAATGGTGAGCTACTTGCGCAGGGCAGGTCTGGGTCTTGCACGATTTAACAAGCGCTGGGCCTCTAGTATAGGATAAAAAGTAAAACTAATAGACACACATTTCTTTTACATTAGTGGATAGTTAGCAGTCAAAAATCAACATGATAATAACAATGAGGAGATTTGTGGTCTCTGCTCTGGAAAGGTGGTTGTGCTTTGAGGCCAGTGTGGGGGGGTGAAGGGGGTCACTTTGATATTCCAAAGTCACTGTTATTAGGTATGTATATCATAGATGCAAAAAAAGACAACAGACAAGCTCAGTTAAGGTAAAGATTGATCTTTATTACAGAAAAATACCAGCCTGGGACATGACTACCTGCCATGAACTGCGTTTAGTTAGAAAGTTTCCATTGTATACCATTCTATGTGGTTATGTTAGGTCTCTGAGTTTGTAAGGCTGCCATGCAGGCCTCCCCTGAGTTTGTGAGGTTTAGTATGTGGCCCATTTTTCGTCCGCACTGTCAACATAACTTAGTGTTAAAGTTAACCTTGATCACCTGGCTGGGGTAGTGTTTGCAAGTTTTTTCCACTGTAAAGCTTCTCTCTCTCTCTCTCTCTCTCTCTCTCTCTCTCTCTCTCTCTCTCTCTTACTGTACTTTTTGGAAGAAAGTCACTATGAGCCTCTAGCACTTAAAGAGTAGAGAGTTATGCTCTCCCTCCTTGAAAGTTGAATATATAAATTATTTGACATTGTTTTGCATGGGATATTTGTCTATTTTCTTTCATTTATTCAAATATGGATTCATAGATACATGTATTTTATGCTCTAGGTTATAATCCAATACTAAATTTTGTTGCTGAAATTCTAGCTTTGTCAGCGAGAGCTCTTTCTGTTGGTTTTTATGTCCCTTTGACAAACACCCATCTATATGATTTTATGAAGTACTTTCATATTTTCTGGCACTACAAGATACTTCAGGTTCATCTTGTATATTTCCTTCCTTGGTCCTAGAAATAGCCAATTCTCTAAAGATCCCTGATTCTTTTTACTTGAAAATGGTATCAGAAACCAAGATCTTGGTAGTAGATAATGTTCATTGCTACTGGACTGGTCACTTTGCTGTTTAAAAAAAACCAAAAACAAACAAACAAACAAACAAAAAAGTAAAAACTTGACCCAAATCATCACTGGCCCTCCATGTACTTCACAATCTCATTTGAACAAAACCCCCAAACCCATCTTTTATGTAAATTCTGGGCTTTATGCTACTTAATATATGGCAAACAAATATTTTTATACTTATTCCATCACTAAGAGTATGTAAATATCTCTGTATTTCACAGACAAGTGAACATCTATCCCCATCACTCCTTCCCAGAACCCACCTTATCTGTACCATGCACTGCTTTTCTGATGAAGTAATATATAAAGTATTAATCTTTAGTATATCCATTATCTTAACACTCTTCAACATCTCATCCACTGCTGATGTGGTCTCTATCCCTAACCTCTATCCCAATTGAATAACTTATCTTATGTAAAATCAGTATAGTGGAACCTCAGTTCTCAAACCCCATTCTTTCTGAAAGGCTATTTGAGAAGCAATCTGTTCAAAAACCAAATCATTTTTCCCCATTAGAAATAATGTAAATTGAATTAATCTGTTGCAGACCCCCAAAGGATTCAGTTTTAACTTTTTTATATATACAGTACGTGTCTAATATACTGTTTAATCTATAAATAAACATTCCTTTTCTTAAATTTATCAAACCACCCTCTACTGACCTTAAACTAATCACTTTGAGCACTCTTTCCAGGGCCTCTTTCAGGAGGTCCGTATGCAGCATCTTCACTTTTTCACAAATCATTGCCTCCAAAATGTTATCACCAGCTAAATGCTTTTCATTTATCTAAATCAATAACAACTTTTCTACCTCTTCAATGGCCTGTAATAATTGTTTCATGAGTACTTTTGGACCATTAATAACATCAGCACTCTTGATGGCCACTTTATGGTTTAAAATTGTCTAATCGTTGATTTCACCATGCCATGAGAACAACTCTATCATATTTTGCAATTATTTATTTTTAAAGCTCTATAGTTCTCACAATTTTTCTTTTCACTTTTCTATTACTAACTTTCTTAGGACCCATGGTGACTTACTGCACATCCTATATAATAAAGAGGTAATATGCAAATTGACCTTCACATTCTCACACAAGATGGCCACCCCATGTGGTCACAAGATGACCGGCAGGGGAGGGCAGTTGGGGGCAACCAGGCCTGCAGGGGAGGACAGTTGGGGGCAACCAGGCTGGCAGGGGAGGGCATTTATGGGTGACCAGGCCAGCAGGGGAGGGAAGTTGGGGGCAATCAATCTGGCAGGGGAGTAGTAAGGTGCCGATCAGGCTGGCAGGGGAGTGGTTAGGGGGTGATCAGGCTGGCAGGCAGGAGCAATTAGGGGCAATTAGGCAGGCAGGCAGGCAGGCATGCGAGCAGTTGGGAGCCAGCAGTCCAGGATTGTGAGAGGGATGTCCGACTGCCAGGGGGGACCAGACCTGCAGGGGAGGGCAGTTGGGGGCGACCGAGCATAAACTGGCAGTCGGACATCCCCCGAGGTGTCCCAGACTAAAGAGGGTGCAGGCTGGGCTGAGGGACACCCCCCAGTGCACAAATTTCGTGCACCAGGCCTTTAGTATTTAATAATAATAATAAGTAGCAACAAAAGCAAAAAAAAAAAGCCCACAAGAATATTCATGGCACAATTTCCTAAAATGTTAACAGCATGAGGTTTAGTGGTAAACTGACTCATACTTGTGCGTTCTCTCCTTTGTCACCTGAGAGATGCTTTTTGTCATGCTGAGGTATCAGCATGAAATGGTTGTCTGGTTGAGAACCAAAGTTTTTTTTGACAACTGAAACATTTTTCCATGAACTTGGTCAAGAACTGAAGTGTTCAAGATAGAGGACATTAGAGAACCAAGGTTTGACTGTACTTTCAATTATCAATTATATTGAAAACAGACATCCCCAACTCTCACAAAATCTCTGATTCATCCCATCCATAACTTCTCTCCTAACAGTCATATAATAATCATCATAATAAAAATGTTGGTTTATGAGCAAATAATGTGAAAAATGGACACACATGGCCATCCACCCATCACCAACACTGACTTGATTCCTTACTTCTACCAAGCCCCTTTTCAGTTTAAATGTATATGTAATGTTCAAAACAACATCCTTGATTTTATCTCATCATTGAACCTGATGCCATCTTTATCTCTCACCAACTATTTCACACACACATTCTTATTATCCCCAGTAATGCCAGAGTTTGGGTAATCAGCAAGTAATATGAGAAAGAAATATTTTTAATTTTGAATCTATCTCTAATTATTATTCTTTTTTAAAATCATCACCTGAGGATATTTTTCTATTGATTTTTTGAGAGAGTGGAAGGAAGAGGGAGAGACAGAGTGAGAGACACCAATGTGAGAGAGACACATCAATTGGCTGCCTCCTGCACATGCCCCGCCCAGGGCCAAGGACTGAGCCTGAAACCAAGGTATGTGCCCTTGACCAGAATCAAACCCGGGACCCTTCAATCTGTGGACTGATGCTCTATCCAGTGAGCCAAACTGGCTAGGGCTATCATTCTATTTAAAATCACTCTTTTTTTTTACTACTAGTAATGTTTTAAACAGAAACCTCCAATTCTCATTCATACCATTGACAGCTGCTATATAATTCTTTTTATTTTATTTTATTTTTGCTATATAATTATTGCATTCAAGTAAAACCACTACTTTGTATAAGCAAACATCCCCCCCAAAGAACCTCTGTGATCCTCATTATACAAGATCCTCATCCATCGCTAGCCCTTACATCACATCTGCCACTCAGTCTTCCTAATTTTCCTGTTATCCCTGATAACTATGCTATTCTATGTCCTATGTAAATTCCCCATTTTCCAAAATTATCAAGTAATGTAACTAAAATAATATATTCTTGTATATTTGATGCTGACTTCATTCTAGTCTT